AAAATTTTAGCACCGTTTGCTTTTATTTTAAAATCGAACACGAAAAGAGAAAGGGGCAATCAAAAGGCAACATTTTGTTAGAACGAAAACACCATAAAGCCCTGAGCTTTGCAGTCAAAATTTATAAAAATCGAATACATGAACTGCTTTATGATATTTTATTAGACCAAGTTTAAATAGCTATTTTCATGTGTTTATACAAGTTTATATAAGTCCATTTAAAAAAAATTAGGCAACTAAACGGTTTCAGATGACCCCATTGTCGCCGCTTTTGAACTAAATTTATTGTCTTATCAGCGAATTTTTAATTTTACATGCGACAGCATTTCTTGTCTAATTCTAAACAATGGTGACAAACTTGCAATTGGCTATTGTTTTGTCTTGCATGCAGTAGTACATGGCGCACACAGAAGCAGAAATTTCTTGAATATTATGAATATGAAGCTTTCAACTTGCTGATAAGCGTAAGCCGGCAAAGCTAGGCGGCTTGTGAACCGGTAGTGGCTTATCTGACATCAGAAACCTCTTTTGAAAAGTGAGCTACATATTACCATACATATGAAAATATACACTTGTGGTCAGCTGATTAAGTTGAGTGACATTTTGACTATTTTCGGTTACTTTTCTTTTGCTTATTCAATGTTTATAACTTTTTGTATAAAAGTCCAGCACATAACATAACCAGTACCACATAAATCTACATTTCAAACTTCTTACAAAAATTATAATAATTCAACAAACTGTAACAATTACAACCATAAATATTGAAGTGTTTATTAAAAATGTTTAGAAAAATTTTAGGTACGCAGCTTTATTTAATTGTTAAAATTTGTTTTAGATTTTATAAATTTTGTACGAAGCTTGAAATGTGGATTTAGGTGGTACTAGTTATGTAATGTGCTAAACTTTTATAAAAAAAATTTATAACCATTAGACAAATGAAAAATTGCCAAAACTGGTTAAAATGTCACTTGTCTTAATCAGCTGACCACAAGGGTACATATGTACAAAGTTAATTATGAAGAGGCTAGCGATACTGTGCGTTTTTTAATACAAAAAAGTGTATCGCAACGAATGGTCTCGATAGAAAAAGTATCTCCAAAGTAGGATAACCAAAATTGTCCATTTAAAAAAAGGCAATCAGTGCTACTACAAACTCTCACCAGCGACTTAATTAAAGTGGAGGCTTATTAATTACTTTAGATTAGGGATGGGCACCGATGCCCGTGCGGGCCCCAATAATGGGCATTACATTCTCTTAGGCGTAAAAATATTTTTCTTCTAACTAAATAATTTATGCAACTTTGCTCAAACGCACGATAGTGTAAGCATTACATACATACATACATATTGTCGCCTGGGTAAAAGATTGTCGTAGCGCAATTTTGACGATTTTCAGTTCTAGATGCAGTTATATATTTTGAATAAGGTCTTTCGATTGGTGTTATCAGTTTTTAGATATCTCCTTAGTTTCCGAGATACTGACTACAATTTTTTCGATAATTTAGTTAGTTTTGTTAGTGATACAGTCATATTAAACTAATCAATATCTTAGAAATGGTGTTCTCCATTTTTGTATATCTTCTTTAGTTTCCAAGATATTGAGTAAAAAGTGTCATTAATTGAGTAGAAATTTTGATCCCATTTTGTGTATTTCAAACAAAGTGGCTGCCAAATTGTGGACAAATGGCGCTTACGACAAAATTTTACTAAAGAAAATCCTTCATAAACTCAAAACTAATTAACAATAAACGCTAAAAAATAAATAATTTAAGAGTTCTGTGAACTAGTAACATTTTCAAAGACTTTGGAGAAAATCGATTTTGTTAAAAATTGTAACGTGGAGTACTTTTGCGCACTAAATGTTATCGGATTTCAATGAAATTTGGTTTGTAACTTGGATTTACCTGGGGAGACATAAATCTAAGAGATGGTAAAAATCGGTACACTGCCACGCCCACCATTCTTCCGAATTCTGAATTCTAATGTGGCAAAGACTAGCAACGATTCTGCAAAACACCAAAAATTTGGTGCAAGATCTATTTTTGCATAAAAAATACAGACATATAACAAGTTGTGTGGATTGGCGATCAATCTAAGAATTCTTGGGCTGCATCGCCAGGATTTTCCAGCTAATCGTTTGGACAGCATTAGTGCTTTCGTAGATCTGGGTATGGCTGTGTCCACGTGCTTTAAGGCATAGAAATTTGGTATGTAAGATCAGTCCCATATATTTCACTTCGCTGGTAACAGTCAATGCAACTCAACCCTAGGTTATAATTCTTGCGTTTTTTTTCAAGTAGGTTTAAGATTTACCTGCCCTTCAAGCCGATTTTCCAGTACAAAATTTGTGTTTAAAAGGGCAGATAAATTTTAGAACCTACTCTATAAAACGGCCCTAAAAGTTCAAAACATTTAACATTTAATTAATTAAATTAATATATAATTTTCTTTCTAAAACAATTAAATCTAAAAATTTATATACATATTTCGTTCTTAAACAATAAAATCCACTCGAAGGCCACGCCAGTGCTTTGTTCACTCGGTCATTGCGACTGTTGGAACAGCACGAGCAAACTGATAACATGTCCATTTGGAACAGTGATACTCAGAAAGAGCTCGTACAAAATCTACAGCGAGCTTTAAAGAGTCTCGCCCGCGGGCGCTGTTCTGAGCATCACTGATTTGGAATATGCTCAAGTGCTTTCTGTCAGAACAGCTTTCTACCATGAAAGCTGGCAAGAGAGATTTTTCGTCAGACTTCCGTGCCAGAATAAACAAAATCTTTTAAACTACTTTGACGACGGGTTTTCAATTGTCTTAAAAAAAAAACTTGGAACTAAGCCAGAATTGCCCGGGTAGTCTTTAAAAAAATAGGCGAATTCATCGTATGTCTGGGTTACATATTGAAATTATGCGCCATATTTACTTTTAATTAAATTCATTTAATATCCAAAGCTGCATTAAACTCACTACTTATTTCACGTCAGCTACAGTGAACCAAATAAAAAAATTGTCCAACATATTTTGTATGGAAAAAAATGCTAACAAAAAAATGGCTAAAAATCAACGGTGTAAGTCCTAGCTACTTCAAATTTGCACTTTATTTTACTAAAATTTAATGGGCTACGAACGGCATACCAAAATTTTTTCTAAAGATGCTGATTAAAAAGTTGGAAATTTTGGTGAAATTTTGCAAAATTTTCATAATTTTTTCACAAAGTCTGAAATTTGGATTTTATTGATGTTTGTTAAGAAATCAGCTATAGTGCTTTCGTAATAATAAACATTGAATAAACTAAAGAAAAATAGCCAAAGCTTGCTAAAAATGTCGCGTCTCAGTTTTTATTCTATACTTTCTAAACAAATGGTTTATTCCCTATTCCAAAATACTTGAAAACTTATTGACCTGAAAAAAATCAGCGAAAATGTTGTATTTGGTTTTTTTTTTTGCCAAAGAAATCAAAACAAAACTTTCTGATTAATCCGGCGTATTTTCAGGCAATGGATAGCACCATTTTGCCGAATGGGCTCAAGGTATTCTCAACAACAACAACTACCCCAACTACTCAAAAGGATAAGGATATTCTGATTGACTGAAAGAGTTCGCTGAATCGTTTAATCATACATCAAATACAGAAATTGACTGGACTACGTGACCAAAAATATCAATGGACTAAAGTTAATGAAATTCGCAGCGACAATTTGAAAAATGTATGTACATACAATTATACAAATGTCTTCATTTTTATATTTGCTCCTATGAATGTCTCTAATACAACGAAAAATCACGAATCACGAAATGTGATTAGAGCGCCTCAGAATAATTGTTGGCGGTTAAAATAAACTGCAATAAAATGTACGGAAAAGCAAAAACATGTACATGTAGTATATAAAACCATTTGTATATATTTTATATATATGTACAAAGTATATATGTACATATATTTGGTATATTATGTATGTTTATAGCTATTTATGTACTGGATCGTATTTAGGAAAAATATGAACACATGTTTCATATGTATTCCAGCGCACCGGATGCTGTTGTGAGCGTTACGCTGCTTGAGTTGGCTTACGCTGGATCATTATTTTTAATATAAAAACACAGATGAGCAACGAGTGTGAAGCATATACAAACTTACTATATACATGTACATGTACTATATGTATGCACTATGTATGTACGAAATTATGTAGATGCTATCATTTTCACACTGCATACACTTCATACACTTAAATACTTACTTCAAGAATCGACCCAATTCTACATATTTACATACATAGTTCCATACCCGCAAACAAATGCGTTGATTTTCTTTATGAAACCGGCAAATGATCTATTTCTACTTGTTTGTACTTAAGTATGTATGTACATATGTATGGAGCGACATGATCTCGATCAAGCAATAAATTATAAGCACATGAAAAGCGTGTTCGATTAATTATCGAAAATTATCACACAAGAAAACCAAAAACGTTTCTGCATTAGAATAGAATTGAAATCATAAATGCTCAAACGTGTTCCAAAAATATGAATACCGAAAATCTCTGCCACAAAGCAATTCGGCTGATAGCCAATTAACAAAATCTATGCAAATGTTTGTTGACGCATTAAAACTTGTTGATTAGCATTTGAACTATCTATCAAACAGCAGTGCAAGTCAGCCGGCAGCCGGCAGCCAGCAGTCAGCCTGCCAACCAACCAGTCACGCCCAGCAGCGGTTACACACGCGAACAGTTAAAACTATTATTAATTTCAGCGAATTTCAGTGCCAAAGTGACAATATTTAATATCAAGTTGTTTATTTTGGACGGTTCTTTTTTTTGAAGTATTTGTGTATTTGCGTCGATTGGCTGGCCAAGCGGTGGCGGTAAAAGACTGGTCTCAAAAAGAAACATGTTTTTTCACAGCCGGTGTATTGTGCCGCCACTTTGTAGATCGTGTGCTGGTTTGCACGTAATGAATATATGTATCTGTGGTCATAAGCAATAAACGCCTAGGTCGAAAAACCTGAATTCGAGAAAAAACATTTTAAACATTTGGATTATTGGGAAACCAAAATATGTTCGTCTATAACTTTTTAAATTGCCCAGCTGGCGAGATGGGGATTTCTCGTGCACATGGAATATTAGTTGCAGAATACGATAAGCATATATAACTCAATTATCTTTAAAGTCGACTTAGGCGGTTTTTGCTTATGACAACAGATATATACAAATGTACATATATACATATGTAGGAGCGAAATAAGAATTGCAATTTTTTTACAAGAAATCAAGTATTCAGTTTATACATCTGTCACGCAGATATCTGTAAATACTGATAACTATTTAAATCAATAGTGTGTGAAGCTGATGTGCCTTTGCACTTATGTACATACATACGTACAAGGGTGCATGTGCAAATTACCTTGAGATCTGGTATAGTTTTAAACCGCAACTAACACATAAAAACAAAGGAAAATATATGTTGACCATTTTTCTTTTGTCTATTTAATGTTTATCTAACAAAAATCATATACTTAAAACAAAACTTCAAACTTTGTGCTAAAATTATAGAAATTAAAAAAAAATCACCAAAATTTCAAACTTTTTTCAGAGTTTGTATGCAGCTTTATAGCCCCTTTAAATTTTAGGACGTTACAAGTGCAACTTTCAAGTGGCTGCCAAATAACGTTGATTTTAATCGTTGTTTTTTTTTTTGTTGACGATGTCACGCATTCTTTCCATACAAAGTATGCTCGAGAATTTTTTATAGGCAAGAAAATGCCTAGTACCCTCAACAAAAATTTACGCGATTTTTTAGCAACTTCAAACTTGCACTTTATTATACTAAAATTTAATGGGCTATACAACTGCATACCTAAAATTCCTCAAATTCTGAAGGAAAAGTTTGAAATTTTGGTGAAATTAAATCGATAATTTGAAATGCCATACATTCTTCCATCGGATGAACCTTCATTATTAACCATTATTCGGCTTAATCACATCAAATATAGTGTAAATTATTATCTTGGCTGATGAAATTGGAAATAGCTAACTAATTCCTAATTTCATACATTCAACGATGGGTGAAATGCTTATTAACCAGCAATCAACTTAAAATTTATAAATGCTCACGTGCGATTTTGCTGACTTAAAATTAGTACTTGAAATTTAACTTAACTAAGAAAACACCAAAAACCTTAAAGAAATGTATGTGTCACTTACATATGTATAAAATGGCAACTATTTTAACTCTCCGCTGAACTTCTAAACAAAAAGAAAATTGTGATTCCGAAGTTGATCACATTCTCAGCTGAGATTTAAATGTTTTCATGTTGTTTCGAGAATGATGTCTTTCGTTTTACGTTGAAGCTTCAAGAGGTGTACATATGTATACATTTTCCTACTTATCCTCAAACTCTCAACACTGAAGTTTTACGAATCGGTAAAAATAATTGTAAACGCCTAATTATGATTACGATGAGAAGAACATAGAGCTGATACTAGCGTGATTGATTCGGTGTTTCCAAACCGGTTTCCACTGGGTTTTTTGGATATCTATAGGCGGTTTATATCAAATATTGATTTTTCGATGTCGAACAACCCGTTTTTTTTTTGTTTCCTTTCATACAAATCTTGACCTCTCATTAAAATTTGTGAGCTTTTCAAAGCTTTTTCCAGTTTAAGGGAAACCCCTAATCGTTTTATAATTATATCCTAGGTTATTTGATGCTGGCAGGAGTACACTCGGAGGTTTGCTATTATCTGCCGAGTACCGACCGCTATTGGAAAAAAACTTTTTTTATGTTGCTGGGCCCAGATATTGGATCATGGACCTCCTGAGTGGCAGTAAACACCCCCAAGCACTTTTACTACGGCGGCAAGAGCACTACTCAAAACCCGGAAAAGTCAGAATAAATGCAATACAATAGTTTTTGAAAAAAGGTGAGCAATCGAACACCCTAGCTGATACCGACTTGAAAAAATAGGTTTCTCGAAATTTTTATTTTGTATGTAAAAATAATTTTAGTGGTTAAATTTAGAGAGGTCACTTTTGTGACGCCAACTTCGTCGATTAAAAAAGAAAAATATATATTCATTTATTTTTTTTTGTATTTTTATGTATCAAAATGCAGTTAAAACCTTCTTTAAAATTTTAATGTCCTCGTTGCCACTGTTGGACTTGTTTTAATTCAAATTAAGTAGCAAAAAAAAGAAATTTTAGTTAAAATCGTTTCTACTTTTTCTAATAAGTTTGTGTTCGTTAAATATATGAAAACAACAGAGTATAACTTTTTTTCTTTATTTTAAGTCCCCGCGGGAGATAACGGCAA